CTAAGAATTAATCCTTATTTGTCACATAGGTTCTGTATATTTCATAAAAAGAACCTTTCTGTATATAATATTACCCATTTTTTAAATGTAATTAATTATATAGATAAAAAATAAACAAGACTTAGCTATTTAATCATTTCTTTGTATGTGAATGCCTCCATCCATCAAATATTCATGATGGTCATGATGATTATTTGATACATTTGATATAATTGACATGACAAACAATTGCATCACCTAGGTAGTAACAATACCAAGGCCATGCAAAAATGAAACTTTTAATAATGCGTGTCTACCCAGATCTCTGGGATTCACAAAATAAATTATTTTTCAATTATGGTTCCTTATGAATAGTAAATCTGATGTTGATCACAGGGATCAGATTTAATTAAAATTTCCTATCACAAACATGCAATGCGGTGCTATTAACACGCCTATAACCATGGAATTTTTTTTCCACAGGGAGGTTTCACACATGTTGGAAGGCTTTGGACAAAACTTTCCCTTATCTCCCTCTCAGACCAGGCTTGTTGTCACCATATGGGCATTGATTGCTGATGAGAGTTGGCATTTATGATGATTGCTGCATGTTATACACCTCGAGTACAAAGTTGGCACCTGCAACTGGTTGAAAATTCTGCAACTCAGAAGGTTGCAGCCTGGATTGCTGTTTTGGATTTTCCCTGAATTCAGAGTTTTGGGACCTGGGCTGCTGTAATTTTTATGGAAAGAAAAGTATTAATATTTAACAATTAATTATTTAAATGTTTATTTTGTTGAAAAAAATATACATTGATAGTGTACATTTTCTGTGCTTAACATCCATGTGACCCAAAGTCTGGACAAAAGATCCCTTTCTATGAGTTTGGCTGGTATATCCCAAAGGCATCCCCTGACTTGTCAGTGGCATGCCTACTCACCAACAACCCTACCCCCATTTAAATAAACAAATTCAGTTGGTCAGATAAAAATTAAAGAGAAGCAGAAAATTTGGGAAAATGATTAATTTATAACAAAACATACCAAACAAAATTCGAACCATTTTATAACTTTTTTCTTGTCAGCCATATTGCTGACAAGGATGTATATAATCATGCAATAATTTTAACCTACAGGGCATAGAACTGATTGGGCAAAAACCCCTACCCAAAATTATAAATTTGTTAGTTAATATCAGAGAAACAGAGTGTTTAAGAAAATGATTATACAAAACAAACACTATTTTACAACTTCTCTCTTAACATCAGACTCCAAATGCAATTTCAGGGTCACCAACCCTGCTCTGAATTGTGACCTCCTGTGCTTGAAACAAGCTGTAAATTCTCTTAATATTCATCAGCAGAGTTGCAACTTGGTCACAGTGCCATCCTTGCCTGGAGGTAGGATTGTTGCAGGCAACTTTTTGGCCAGCATGCCAGCAGCCATCTCTGGTCTGGGAAGATTAGTGAAAGTGTCATTGATGATTGATGCAGTCTTGGTAAACTCCAGGACATCTTTCCCCCTCCCTGGAATTCAGTGCATCATTGTATCATCAGGCGCAAGTCAGATTAGCCTTATGTACATGAGGAACATGAGAGAATGACTGTAAAGTGTTCAAGGTAGTGCATGTGCTTCACGCCTATTATTTTCCTGTAATCAAACATCACATACTCAAAATGTCTCTTTTTAAACGGTGTGCTGCCTTGACATCTTGTAATTATAATATTTATAATATTATTATTAATGATCATGAAAAACAAAATATTAACAATGAAAATCCTGTAATTACCCAGCAAGATCTGCTCTGCGTTTTGATTTCCAACTAAAATATTTATAAGCCAAAAAGATACTATACTATATCAATACAAATAAAAAATAGTACCTCTGTTAGTTATTAACACCTTTTCTTTAGGAGACCAAACCAAACCAAACAACAACACTCACGTTTTGTCACCTTGGACTCTGTCAAAAAATAAATTGTTTTTCCAAGAAAGAAAAAAAAAATCAATTCACGTCTGTCCTACCAAGGATAAATAATTAGTGTGCGCGTGTGTGTCAATCGTATCACAAAACTTTTTAAAATTTTTTTTTAAAAAATGTCTTCAGGAAATCACAAAAGAAGCAATAATAATAAGTATGGTGCAAAGAAGGGGTAAGTGTTTTAAGAAGGATGGTGGTGGTGGTTATCGCCCGCCACTCGTTGTCACTCTAGTTATTATGATAAGATGAATAGAATAAAGCTTTTTTTTAAAAATACAAAGAAAATAATAATAATCAATTTGATTTTATATTTATTCGATTAGGAGTAACAATAGTGAAGTTGAAGGTATAGAATTTTACGAAAATCAAGAGTACAATAATAATAAGGAAAACATCGTGGAAAAAGAAGCACATTCGGAGGGATCTACAACAAAAAAAGAAGAACATATAAATATATTCAGCATGACTTACCAAAGGAACTATTTCTGGGTTTACAATTAATTCCTTTGATAGGTTGTAAATGGGAATGGCAAAATGTTTGTATCTCATTTCAAGAGAACACGAAAAATATACAAACATGAGACAGCTTTCCTTTTTTTTTTTTTTTTCCTAATATAAATTTTTAATTTTCAATTTTCATGAATTTTATTTTTTAAAATAGACCATTACAAATAGGAGTGATGAACTTCAATAATATATTATGTTCCAAACATCTTCCACCATTGTTGATTCCTTACATTCAAAGACAATTGGAAAATGATGATTTTGAAAAGATTTTTTTCGACGATAAAAAAGAACGTTGGTTTAATAAGTTCATTATAGATATTGATGCGGAGGTTGAACAATATCTGGATCATTTCCAAAACTGTGTAAGTGTCTAATCTTCAAAAAATTTAAATTCAATACTAAAATTAATTATATGTATATTATTCATTATAGAGAACATTAGACACATTGCATCGGTCCATTAATGAAAATTCTATTTATAACAATACGAATATTAATCCCGATATCAGATATGCACATCAATTCATCAATCACATGTAACGTTAAAAGCCTTTTAATCTTATAGAATCATTTAAAGGATGAAACCTTTGTTACTAATATGAACAATTTATATTACTATTTTTGTAACCAGGTTAAGGTTGCGGGAGAAACTCCTCCAGAAATCAATTGACAGAGTTTCAGCAGGTTGCACATTAATTGTTTATTAGAGTTTCGGCAGAGTTTCGCATTTGGGGTTTTCACCAATCATCATAGTTTTGACAGGTTACACATTAATTGTTCTTAGAGTTTTGACAGAGTTTCAACAGTCATTAAGAGGTTTCGCCCACAACCTTAAACCAGGTTACAACCTTTATATAGATGATATTTTAAGTAGAACCATGACTGAGAATGAATATGACATTTACGTTTGTACACCACTGATACGTTTTGCATTTTTAGGAAAAAATGACATACGTATTTCTAGGTACATTATAATCTTATTTTATAGTGTATGAAATTCAACTTATAACCAGTACAAATTTAGAAACTACAAACAGAAATTTTTGATTTGATTAGATAATTTCCACAAACGCTATACTTAATTTTGTACACTGATAACAATTTTGAGAATTTTATTCAACATAATTTAGTGGTGAAGTTTCGTCAAAATCATATGAAAGTCTTAAAAAACTTGCCCAGTTACAAACTAGATCTGGACCAAGACTTGATGCCAAAGCATTTATTTTATCAACTGGAGTAGAAGTATTGGTTCAAGAAAATGCAAAAAATGATATTTATAGTAAACGGACAAATGACTTGTCAAAATTGGAATACTGCACCAAAATCTTACTGTCAAGTGCTTTTCTGGCCTTACCTCCTGCAGCTCAATCTGAAATATATAAGTTTGAAACTTACACAATTCAAACCAATGGTAAATAGTCCTTCTTCACATATCTTACAAATAATGTTTATAACATTGTTCGATATTGTAATGTTTTCTCTTTTTTAGAACTTACGTTAAAATTGGGTGTATCATCATATATGTTTGAAGAAGTGATATGTATGCTTGAATTAACTGAAATAACCATTCCACAAACCATAGAAGCATTTCCAAAATGCATAGAAGCTATATACAAGGTGCTTTCATGGAAAGTTAGTATCCTAAATTTACTATTATTTTTTTCTGTATTTTTTTTCTTTACTGATTTAAAATCTTCCATTTTATAAGTCTCGTTCACGAAGAAATACCAATATTTATCATGAATTGTTAAGTAAGGCTTCAAGCGATTTAAAAAAAAAGAAATTTTTTCCATCACCAAGGTTATTAAATCCTAATTACATGTAAGTTTGTCAAAAAAATTTTTTTCACCAATATTGACATCATTGCCAGTGTTCGAAATTCAATCGGCGGAATCGGCGCGCGCAGTAAGTTACACAAAATTTTGTGTGCGCAAAATTTTTTAACAAATCTAATGTGCGGATTTTAATATTAATATTAAAAATTAAAAACTTCCTTCCACATAATAATTAACAATAATAATAAATAAATAATCAATTATTAATAAATAATAAAATAATAATTAAAATGATAATTAATAATAATAGATTATTATAAAAATTATTCCAGCTTATATCTCTATAAAAAATAAAATACGGAAAATAAATGTCCAAATATTACATTATTATTTTTATTTGTATAACGTCAAAATTAGTTAACTTTATTTAGAAATTAGCATCGCAGTTAGAATGTTACGTCACAATTAAAGTGCGATATCGCGGCTAGAATGCTAGATTGCAATGAAGTTGTTACTAATTAATTGAATTGTATAAAAGAAGCTCAAATTTGACTTGCTTGTAAAATAACTTTAACATTGTAATAAAGTTTTAAAGTTAACTTAGTAATAAGTTAATAAATTAGTTTCGACTAAATAAAATGTTTTTCTTAAATCACTAAACCAAAATTATTCACTAATAAAACTAATTCATTAGTAGCCAATTCATTCTGATTCACATAATCATAAATTTTATATTGTTATCATCAATTAACATGCTCTCCCAAACAATAATTGGTGACAATATTAATGAGAAACTCCCTAATACTAATACTAAGTAGTCATGATAGCTTTCATCAATTACAACCAATTTTTTATATGAAAATTGTCTTTGAAAATTCATTTTGCATCCTTGCTGCATAGCAATCATCCCCAAGTTCAAGACCTAGATTCTTGGTTATAAACGAAAAATAATGGTCAATATCAAAATTACTATATTTAGAATTCAGTGTGGTACAGTACACTAACTTATTTATATCCATCTTATCCATCTATCTATTCATCTAAAACAAAGAAATAATATTACGAATGTGTCTGGTAATGTTCTATCTCTATTCTAAATTTTCAAATGATTTACTTGTTACAATAAAAAATGGGTGTTGGCATATTTATGAGAAACTATTTTAAATTCAAGCCACATAGTGAATGGGATTTCAAATCTTTCTGTTCTTTTATGAAAATACTTGGATATGATGATTATAGTGAAATAAATATTCATTATAAAAGACAAATAGGAAATATTATAAAAGATGAAAATGAAAGTGACGCCAACAAAAGTGCTGCACAAGAATTTAAAAAAGTTAGTTTTTTTGTTAATATATATATTAATTATATAATTATACAGTGATGAAAAAAAAAAAATCATTCTTATTAATGATGACTGTTGACCCTATTATGGCTTCAATTTGTTGAGAACTGATCCATATTTATGGCTTGGTGACCAACCCATGTTTATGGCTTGGTTATTTACTGAAAAGCAATCAATATAAACATTAAATTTTTTTTAAAGAAAATTACTTAATAGTTTTTATCTAATAATAGAAAAATGTCCTTTTACAATTATCGTCATTTGAACCATCATCACCATCAGCATCTGAATCATCACAAACTGAATCACCATCAACACCAACAAAATCATCATCAATACTAACAGAATCATCATTAACACCAACAGAACCATCATCAACACCAACAGAACCATCATCAACACCAACAGAACCATCATCAACACCAACAGAACCATCATCAACACCTTTATATGATGAAAAAAATGATGATGGATTCACATTATGTGAATTAATCAAAGAAGCACTATCAAAAATTGATTCAAATGCTTTTTTAAATAGCCATGGAAAGTCAAAAGATGGTAAAAAAATATTAGAAAGACTTTGGCAGGTCGAATTATATTGTGCATTAAAAGAACATTTGTATGAAAAAGCAAATATTTCATTAGAAGTAGGAAGAATGTATTGTGATGATGGAATAATTGACCTTTATATTCCAAAGTATGGGTGGGGGATCGAGTTGCTTATTGATGGAGTGGGGATGAAGGAACACTATAGCAGATTCAAAGAAGGTAAATGGAGAAAAGAATATAATTTTTTAATAGATATATAATTAGACATAATCTATTGACTGCTGAAATTTCTATCTAGATGGCAAGTACTCTCTAATACCAATGAAAGATTATATCATCTTAGATATAAGACAAACAGTGATGGCAAAAAAACTTTATCCTAAAACATGGTATGTTGTACAAAACAATAATTTTACAATTTTAACAATTTTAGAATATATTAATTAAATATAAAGACAAAAAGCAAGAAAAAAATAATGATGAAATATTAAAATTATTAAGAAAAGATCA